GTTTGTTTTCTGATATCTGCCCACAGAATCAACGGCTCCACCCTTCATACCTCGAGACTGCTGGAGATTTTCTGCTTGTAGAGATCCAGATAGATATTCTTATATTTCAGGCTGATTTCATAGGTGCTCAGAATGGTTTGATACATATCCAGCTAAATTCAGGAGACCGGTTGAAATAGGATCCCCTACTCCTCCGCCATCTTGCCCGGAATCATTTCAGTGGCATTTAGTGCATTTACCAGTTGTCCAACTACCACCTCTGCCTAAGTGCACAACATTCCCATCACTCCAAATTACTGTCCATTACCCATAAATCAGTTTCTCCACATTTTCTTATTGCCAGTCCCTGAAATTACCAGTCTGCATTGTGTCTCTGTTTATTCATTATAGATTTCTTCTTTTTCAATATTGTCTGGACTCTTCAGGGCCTGTCGCAGTTCCATATGTATTGGATTATGTTTTCCATTTCTCCAAGGAAGGTTTCTAGAATTTTCATAATGTGTATATAGAATACCTAGACCACTTTGGTAGATGTTACCATCTTTAAAAATATGATATCTTCCAACCCATAAATATGAAATGTCTTTTCTATTTATTTTGGTGTTTAATTTCTCTCAAAAGCATTTTATGCTTTTCAGTCTACAGGTCTTTCACTGCCTGTGTTAAGATTTTTTTCTAGGTATTTTATTTCTTGGATGTTTCATTATATATGGAGTATTTTAACATTTCCTTCCCAGATTGTTCATAATAGTTTATAAGGCACAACTGCTTTCATGTGTTGATACTGTGTCCTGCAATCTTCCTGACATCATTAGGACACATTGTTAGAGTAGGTTGTGTGTGTGTGTTTTTTTTAAAGATTTTATTTATTCATTTGACAGAGAGAGAGAGGGCACAAGTAGAGGGAAGGGCAGGCAGAGAGAGCTAGAAGCAGGCTCCCCGCTGAGCAGGGAGCCCGTCCTGGGGCTGGATCTCAGGACCCTGGGACCATGACCTAAGCCGAAGGCAGAGGCTTAACTGACCAAGCCACCGAGGCGCCCTGTGTGTGTGTATTTTATGGAATTTTTTATACATAGTATCATGTCATTGGCACATAGAGATTATTGTCCTTTTTCTTCCCCAATATGTATATTTAAAATTTTTTCTTTCTTTCTTTTTTTGTCTTATTGGTCCTGGTAAAATTTGCAATACAGTGTTGGATAGCATTGATAAAAGTCAGTATTCCATCACGTATTCCTTATCCTAGGGGGAGAGTATTACTCTTTCACCATTGACTATGATATGAACTGTGGGTTTTTTATAATAGACCTTTAAGAAGTTGAGGAAGTTCACTTCTGTTTTAAGTATGCTGGTGTTTTTTGTTTTTTTTTTTTTAAAGATTTTATTTATTTATTTGACAGAGAGAGACACAGCGAGAGAGGGAACACAAGCAGGGGGAATGGGAGAGGGAGAAGCAGGCTTCCCGCAGAGCAGAGAGCCCGATGTGGGGCTTGATCCCAGGACGCTGGGATCATGACCTGAGCCGAAGGCAGACGCTTAACGACTGAGCCACCCAGGCACCCCAGTATGCTGGTGTTTTTAACATGAAAGAGTTCTAGGTTTTTTTAGCTATTCTGTAGACAATGAGATGATTGTATAGGTTTTTCTTTTTTTCTTTTTACTATTAATCTAGGTTATTATATTGATAGATGTTTACATGTTGAATTGTCAATCCTTGAATTCTTGGAGTAAGTCCCACTTGTTTATGTTGTGTAATTTTAACCTACTGTGTATTTAATTGGACAGTATGTTAATGAAGATATTTGCATCTATATTAATAAGTTATATTGGTTTATCATTTTCTTTTCATGTGCTGTTTTTGGTTTGGTATCAGAATAATGTTGGCCTCAGAGAATGAGTTAAGAAGTGTTCATTCTTGGGGGGACTGGGAGGGAAAAAAAAGAAGTGTTCCCTCTTATTTCTTGTTGTGGTGGTTTAGTTATAAGGAACTTCCTCACCTTTTGTTTATCTTGGAAGTTGTAATTGGTTGACTTTTTTGTCCCCCCCCCCTTATCTGTCAACATTTTAAATATCTTATCCCATTGTCTCTGGACTTCATGATTTGGCTAAAAAATCAGCTCTGAAAGTTATTATGCGTCCTTTGTATGTGATGCTTCTCCCTTCCTGCTTTCAAAGTTCTCTTTTTTACCTTTGTCTTTCCACATATTGATTATGATATGTTGCAGTGTGCATCTCTGTTGCAGTTTTTCTTAATTGCATATTCACTGAGTTCTTAGATTTGTAGACTCTGGTCTTTTAACATTTAAGAAATTGTCTACCATACTTCTTCAATAATCCTGCCTCCTTCTCTTTCTCCTTTCTTTTTGGGACTCCCATTGTTCATATGTTGGCCCACATGATGTTGTCCTGCAGCACCATTAGACTCTATTCACTTATACTCAGTCTTTTTCTTTGTGTTCCTCATACAGGGTAATTTCAACTGATCCCCTACCAGTTATCTGAATCTTACTTCCACCTCATTAGACCTGATATTGAACCTCTCTATGAAATTTTTCTTCTCTTTTTTTCTTAAGATTTTATTTATTTATTTGAGAGAGGGAGAACATGAGCGTGGGAAAGGGCAGAGGGAGAGGAATAATCAGACTCCCTGCTGAGAAGGGAGCCCAATGTGGGGCTCGATCCCAGGACCCTGAGATCATGACCTGAGCTGAAGTCAGACGCTTAACCAGCTGAGCCAGCTAGGTGCCCTTCTGAAATATTTCAATTCGGGTTCAGCTTCAGAATGTGTTTGGTTTCTTTTTCCATCTTCTGTCTCTTTACTGATATTCTGTTGTTTATTTAAACAGTTTTCCTGATTGCTTTTTAATTCTTTGTCCATCATTCCCTTTAGCTTAAATAGTTGAATTAAGGGCGCCTGGGTGGCCCAGTTGGTTAAGTGACTGCCTTTGGCTTAGGTCATGATCCTGGAGTCCCGGGATCGAGTCCCGCATCGGGCTCCCTGCTCGGCAGGGAGTCTGCTTTGCCCTCTGACCCTATCCCCTCTCATGTGTTCTTTCTCATTCTTGCTCTCTCAAACAAATAAATAAAATCTTAAAAAAAAAAATAGTTGAATTAAAGTGTGTGTTTAGTAAGTCCAAAACTGGGCTTCCTTAGGGCCAGATTTTAGTTATTTATTTAATATTTATTTTTCTGTATGGGTTCTGCTTTATTGTTGTGTTGCCTCCTTTGTAACTTCTTGTTGAAAACGGGACATTTTGAATGTGTTGAAACTTTGGAAATCATAATATTATTCCTTCCCAGGGTTTCTTATGTTTATGATTGTTGCGTATTTATTTCCCTCAACAAATTTTGTGTGGCGTATTTTCTTTGTTACGTGTGGCCATTGATGCCTTTGGTTCACTTATTGGTCAGCTAGTGATTGAGCAGATTTCCTGAAACAGCTAGAACCAAACACAAATCAACTTTCCACTCTTTGTAGCTGAGGGTGTGTGTGTGTGTGTGTGTGTGTTGGGGAGTGCATGAACCATACAGGGTACAAGTTTAAGACAACAGTGCCTTAGTGCCTTATCCTTCACTACTGCTTGCTCACAATCTGCTGGTCAGCTAGAGGTATACGCTTGGGGCCTTCTCCGGTCTTTTCTCTTGTGTCTGGTCCTGGGCATGCCTGCAACCTTCTAGGGTCCCTGGAATATGTGGGGGATTTTCAAAGCCTTATTTCCCAGTGCACCTCACTCCTCAATGCTTTTCTCAGGATTTTCAGTTTGTCCATTGTTTGTGCCAATTGTTATCCCTGCCCTAGGTGGCAGTGGCTACTAGACTTACCTTTAAATATTTGTGACGAATGGCTCCTGGTTATTATCTCCATTTAGGTAGAGATCTGAGGTAGGCCAAAGAAAGCAAGCATTTTGAGCCACTCCTTCAGGGAGCCAGCAGGCAGATTAAAGAAACAAACAAATAACCAGTCACAATTCTTTGAAGATGCCGTCTCTTCCCTGAGGTTTGGGAAGCCTGTATCTCTTGCACACTGCCATCTTCAAGGCCACTTCCTAGCTGGGATGCAGGGCACAGAGTCAGGGCAAGTTAAAACAGCTACCTTTTTCTTGATTAAGAGTGTGCCTTGTTGCTGGAATCCCGTGATTAATTTCCAGGGTTCTTATAAAGTTCATTCTGACAGTTTTTGGTAGTTCATCTCCTGCTGGAGTCTCCTGGAGTTCCCTTCTTTGCCATTTCCATGTCACAGAGACCCACTGTTAATCTCTATACTATTACATATTTATCAGAACTTCTGTTTCACTATGGATGATTTCAACATATTTTCCATTTATGATATTGTGTGCTTCTCCTGAAATTCAGCCTCTTTCTTTTTTTTCTTATGGGTGAATTGTTTAAAATTCTAATGCCTATATATATTTCTTACAAATATACATATTCCTTAATAACTGCTGAATTTGTCTGGGGTTACTAACATGTTTATTTTTTCATTATTAATAGATAATTGCAGCATAGATTATGGAATATAAGTACAGGTTATTATTAACATTGCAGTATGCCTCTTCTACATGGATGCAGTTTTATAGCAAGTATTCAGAATATTTTGTTATTCTTAAAGCTTTGTTTTAATGTTGTGTACAGTAAGTATTTGATAATTGAGTTTGATAGGTATTTTTCTTTTAAATATGAGCCACCTTTATGCCTCCTCTAGGTTGCTATGATCTTTGGGATACCTGTAGAAAATTCCGAAGTTTTCAGGGCTGTTGTAACTTTCGATCATAGGGCATTTATAAATAGGCTTCTCTGAAAATAATTTGAACTACCTGTAATCAGCCTTTCTTTATTGTGAAATCTTATCCTTTGTGTTTTTGTTCATTTGCATACAATGGTTGACAAATGTAATAGCTTTGTAATTACGAGTTTTGTTTTTGGTGTAATACTTTTCATTATAAAATCCCCATCTTCAAACTCTGGTTAATAGGAAGCCTATGATTCTTTATATCTTACAGATATCTCTACCAGATGTGTGAGCAAAGAATTACCACCAAAAGAAGACATTAATAATGGAGAATTATTCCAAACATTAATTTTGGAAAGACACATAAGACATGAGTTTGAGGATTTTGATTTGAGAAAAATCCAAGATGTGAACAAATTTGAGACTCAGTGGCTTTATGAAGAAAAAAATTATGTAGAAGACACTGCAACCCATTACAAAAATCTCGCCTGTAGAGAACATCAACAACACCATAAATTCTGTAATCATTTTCCTGTAAAGCACAATGTTTCCATAGGAAGAAATACATCTGAATATTACAAACATGATACAGTGAGTAAGGCACTAAAAAACAAGGTAGGTTATTTAGGAAGCAAGTATAGAAACTGTTCGGACAGTACACTTGGATTAAGCTTTCATTCACATCTGACTGAACTGCAGAGATTTCAGACCCAAGAGGAAATTCATGAAAGTAATCAAATTGAGAAGCCTACCAAAAAGACTTCAGTTTCACTTCAAAAAATTCCTTCTAGTGTCAAAACCAACATTTTTAATAAATATGGGAAGGTTCTTATGCATCCTTCATTACGGACACAACACCAGAAAACACCCAAAAGAGAAAAACCTTACAAATGTAATGAGTGTGGGAAGGCTTTTAGCCATTGCTCAACCTTAGCTAATCATCAAAGAGTTCATTCTGAGCAGAAACCTTACAAAGGTAATGAGTGTGGCAAAGCCTTTAAGAGGTTCTCAAACCTTACAAGGCATCAGAGAATCCATGCTGGAGAGAAAACATATAAATGTAATATATGTGGTAAAGATTTTGCCACACAGTCACATCTCTGGGGTCATGAGCGAATTCATACTGGAGAGAAGCCTTACAAATGTAACGAGTGTGGCAAAGCCTTTTCTGATGGTTCATATCTTGCTCAACATAAGAATTTCCATTCTGGACAGAAACCTTACAAATGTAATCAATGTGGCAAGGATTTTGCCACACGTTCACATCTCTGTATTCATAAGAGAATTCATACTGGAGAGAAACCATTTAGATGTAATGTATGTGGTAAGGATTTTATGATACCTTCACAGCTTTGGGGTCATGAGCGAATTCATACTGGAGAGAAGCCTTACAAATGTAGTGAGTGTGGCAAAGCCTTTTCTAGTGGTTCAAATCTTGCTCAACATAAGAGAATCCATTCTGGAGAGAAACCTTACAAATGTAATCAGTGTGGTAAGGATTTTACCACACGGTCATACCTTTGGAGTCATGAGAGAATTCATACTGGAGAGAAACCTTACAAATGTAATGAATGTGGCAAGGCCTTTATCAGGAGTTCAAATCTTACTCAACATAAGAGAGTTCATGATGGAGAGAAACCCTATAAATGTAATGTATGTGACAAGGCCTTTAGTCAGAATGCAAGCCTTACTGTTCACCAAAGAATTCATACTGGGGAGAAACCTTATAAATGTCATGAGTGTGGCAAAGCCTTTAAGCACTACTCAAGCATCAATAAACACCATAATACACATAGAGTAAAGATACAAATATAAAGTGTGTGGTAAGACTTTTATTAAATGGGGGCACCTGGGTGGCTTAGTCGTTAAGCGTCTGCCTTCAGCTCAGGTCCTGGGATCGAGCCCCGCATCGGGCTCCCCACTCTGCGGGAAGGCTGCTTCTCCCTCTCCTGCTCCCCCTGCTTGTGTTCCCTCTCTCGCTCTCTCTCTCTCTGTCAAATAAATAAATAAAAAATCTTAAAAAAAAAAAAGACTTTTATTAAATGTTTATACCTTTGGAATCATGAGAGAATTCATACCAGAGAGAAACCTTACAAATGTCATGAATGTGACAAATCCTTTAAGCACTGTTCAAGCCTGAGTAGACACCAGATTATACATAGAATGAAGATATAGATGTGGCAAGGCTTTTATTAAATGTTCTCACATTTGGAGTCATGAGGGAATGCATACTGCAAAGAAATCTCACCAAAGAATGTAGCACAGCTTTCATGCCATGCCTCAGGATTCACCAAAGATTTCATGTCGGAGAAAACCCTACAAATACAATGAGTGCTGGTACATTGCTTAAGCAGGTTTCACAATACACTATGCATCAGAGAATTCTAGTAGTATGAACTAAGTCTAATTCTTGAAGATTAATCAAATCAAATGTTACACTCTGCAGGAAAATTAAAAGTCAAAATGTTTTAAAATTCATGAAATGATGGGTGTCAAAGGAGCAGGGATATCTGTGGAACAACCTGCTTATCTTCAGCTTATACGATCTTTTTATTTTCTATTTCTTGATGAGATTACTTGATTATTGACTTTGGATTTGTGGTTGAAAATCTGTTGATGATGTTATGTCTTCAACACAGACCTTTCATGAATTGCCACTAGTGTCTGTGATGGTTCCTTTTGTTTTGGTCCTAATGTAAATGGTATTTTGTTTTTAATTTTTAATTCACTTGTTTATTTCTGGTATCTAGGAAGGCCGTTAACTTTTGATCATTAACCTTGTATCCTGCTGCCTTGCTATAGTTTCCATATTGTGTTTTATCTACCATACTTTGGGGCATCATTAAATTGTTCAGTGCTGTGTTGACAGGTACCACTGTTTTGTTCCTGGAATAAAAAGAAAGGACTCTCTCTTACTATACTAATATTAAGCAAATCTTGCAGTCATTAAGTCCAACTTGGTCATGGGGCAGGTTCCTATTGTATTCTGTGGCAATCGGAGTATCTGCAGTTTATTAAGATCTCAGAAGCTGGGGCGCCTGGGTGGGGCAGTCAGTTAAGTATCTGACTCTTGGTTTCTGCTCAGATCATGATCTCGGGGTCATGAGATCAAGCCCTGCGTCTGACTCTGCACTCAGTGTGGAGCCAGCTTAAGGCACTCTCTCCCTCTGCCCAGCCCCCCCCCGCCCCCGCCCCCGCAGTCTCTTTCTTGCTCTAAATAAATAAATATGTCTTAGAAAAAAATCTCAGAAGCTTTATGCATAATTGGTGTTGCCATATAGAATAAATCTCTAAATATAAATGGAAGCTGGTCACAGACAAAATTATAAATAGCATACCAGAATCTAAACTACAAGGACAGCTTATGAAAACAGCTAAATGTAGATCTAGATTACTGGAAGAACATCATCAACCACCTTTTTCCGTATATCGTGTTGATTACATGATGTGATTTGTTACCACCCCCAGTAGGTTTAAGTCCCCAGTCTGCTGCTAAACAGGATATGAAGTTACTGAAATCACTTAATACTATGCTTCATAGTCCTCTTTAGAATGGAAGTAGTAGTTTCCACCCCCAGATTTGTGATGAATAGAGTTAACTGTCGTTGCAGCACAGATTCTTGACATTGTAGGTGTTTGTCCTTTCCTGAAGAGTTTGCCTGAGGGGGAAAAATGGTAACATGGTACCTGCCATTTCTTAGACAAACCTGATTGATTTTTCCTGTATCCCTTTTCCTCACATGGCTGATGCAGTTCCACAGCTGTGGTACAGCCTGGGGTCATCATGGGAGAGAGAATTCATAGGGAATGTAACATGATGGAAATCTTTACGATGCAGGATAATATAAATTTCACAAGCAGCAAAATTCCCCGTAAACAAAATGGATCCATGACTTCCACGTATAATTGCCTTCTCCCCAACTGTTGAGAGTTTGTTGAAAGTTCTACAAGTCACTTATTTGTGATCATGGGAGTCCATGCTGTGAAACCTCTTTCATGCCAACATGGCTGGTAGGCAATATTATATAATACAGCATAATCTACATAATTACCTTCTGAAGGTTCTCATCTATCCCCAGCACTGTATTTTTTTTAATATGCAGGAAACAAATGCATGGAATGATTTGATAATAGGACTGGATTCTCTTTCAGTTATATCTAGGTTATTTGAAGACATTTAAAACAGGATACACATTGTAAATGTACTCAAGCAAAGAAATCCATCAAAAAGGTTTTTAGTGTCACAACCTGAAAGAATCCTTCCTAGTGTCAAAACCAACATTTGCATAAGGGTGGGCAAGTTTTGATCCCTTTTTTGTTGATAGCAAAATAATATAGTTCTACATATTACAAAGAAACTGCAAAAGTAATGAACTTGGAAAATCTTTAGACAGGATGAATCTTTACTAATCAGAAATTCATACTGGAGAGATCTTAAAATTATACACAGTGGGGCACTGTATTTAACCAAGTCAAACATTATTAAACATTCCATAAATAAATACCTCAGAGTAATCTTCAAATGTAATATATAGCGCAACGTTTTCATCCAAAATTCAATCCTTGTGAGGTTATCACAATATTAATTTTGGAATGAAAACTTAAGAATTTTATGAGTAATGATACTCAAGCCTTAGTAAATGTTAAGTAATTCAAATATTATAAACTTCAGAAGCCATAAGCAGGCTTAAAACTTATGAAACACCACATAATGTATACAGGAGTGAAACCTTACAAATTTAATATATTAAAAGCCTTTTTATCCAAAATGCCTTTATCTCCTCAGTTCTTACTGTAGAATTCATCTTTAACACGTATGGATTTTAGAGAAACGTGGATATTAACTCATGGATATTGCCTTAAAGATTATTGAAGGCATAAATCAGACCTTTGGAAAATTGACAGTCTAACTTCACTTTCCTTAGTGTTCATATAAAGAAAACTCACATGCCTGTCAAATGGCCTTGGAAATATTGCAAAAGTATTCTTTAACTGACATCAAACTCAAGTCTTCGAGAGAATATATACTCAAAAGAGCAAGATTATAATCCACACCTGACAGAACATTTAGAAATAGAAAAACAAAAATGCTAACATAATTTTTTATGAAAGTGATACTCTGGATAAAAGTAAATTTAATAGGTCATTTTGTACCAAAAGGTCAATTATGAAGTGCCTAGAATTTTTCAATTAAAACAATGTATTCTCTGGGTTCTGCTATGGCCCAAACAGTATTTACTTTTTCTATTGTGTGTTTTCATTTTCTCCCCAAAATGGGTTTTATGTACCCGTCTTAACTTTCTCAATACAAAAATCTCCATAAAAAAACTAAAGTGAATTTGCAATTATATTTAGAAATTACTGAGAAATGAATTATGAGGTCACAAAAGTTTACCTCGAGTTTATCTGTCACTTAAAGTGTGGAATACGTTGATAAACATAAAGAACTCAAATTAGATATATACTCTAAAAAAATTTTTTTTCTAAACAGTGAATGGTGACCTAAATATCACATGTCTCAACCCCCATCTCCCACACACCAGGTCTTGTGCCTATGAACAGCTCTAGATATGAACACAGGATTGAGCCCATGATGAATGGGGCTAGAAATGGAAATGAAATTCTGAAAAATGTTGGTCAGTAATGGCATATTTCACATTGGTAGAGATTGCATTTCACATTTCAGTTTGCATCCCTTGCAAAGAAAGCTGCACTCCTTTCTTACTTCAATTGCTTACATGCTAATGCAGGAGACATTCCTGGATCCAGCCATGGCCCCACATCACTCCCCACAGAGGACCTGGTCCCAGACCACTCAGTCAGTACATTTTGCCTGTCGCAGGATGCACATGTCTATCTCTAAGTGAAGTTTTTTTGCATTAAGTTTTTTATTTTATTTTTATTTATTTTATTTGAGAGCGAGAGGGAGAGCACAGAGCAGGGGTGGGGAAGCAGAGGGAGAAGGAGAAGCAGACTCCCCACTGAGCAGGGAGCCTGACATGGAGCTCTATCCCAGGACTCTAGGATCACGACCTGAGCCAAAGGCAGACACTTAATGGACTGAGCCACCCAGGCGCCCCAAGTTTTTTATTTTAATACCAAATATAGTTAATACTGTTATACTAGTTTCAGGTATACCATTTAATGATTCATCAATTGTATACATTACACAGTGCTCATCATGACAAGGGTGCTTTAAATGGCCGTCATCTATTTCTCGCATCCCCCTCCCCACTCCCCCCCCTCCCCCGCAACCTTCAGTGTGTACTATGTAGTTCAAAGTCCTAAACTGGTTTATCTCTCTTTTTTCCCTTTGTTCATTTATTTTGTTTCTTAGATTCCACATATTACTGAGTCATATGCTATTTGTCTCTCTGACTTACTTCATTTAGCATAATACTCTCTGGATCCATTATTGTTACACACGGCAAGATTTCACTCTATTTTATGGCTGAGTAATACTCCATGATGTGTGTGTGTATATATATATGTACAACTTCTTTATCCATTACGTCTCTGTTCCATAACTTGGTTATTATAAATAATGCTACAATAAACATAGAGGTGCATGTATCCTTTTGAATTACTGTTTTTATATTCTTTGGGTAAATACCAAGTAGTTCCATTACGGGTTAGAAAGTAGTTCTACTTTTATCTGATGAGACTCCTGACTGTCTTCCACAGAGTCTGTACCCGTTTGATTTCCCACAAACAGTGCAGGAGGGTTCCTTTTTGTCCACATCCTTGCCAACACTTGTTCCTTGTCCTCAAAACAGTTTTTCAGGAATGCCACTTTCACCTTAATTAAAGGTAATCACGTTAGCTTTCTTACTTTTTTTTTTTTAAAGATTTTATGTATTTATTTGACAGAGAGAGAGATAGCAAGAGCAGGAACACAAGCAGGGGGAGCGGGAGAGGGAGAAGCAGGCTTCCCCCCGAGGAGGGAGCCCGATGCGGGGCTCGATCCCAGGACTCTGGGATCATGACCTGAGCCCAATGCAGATGCTTAAGGACTGAGCCACCCAGGCGCCCCCACGTTAGCTTTCAACACAAGTGGCCCACAAAACTCCAACCTTACCTCAAGCTTTTGAAAACGTCAACTTAAATGAGCGGGCAACAGTCCTGTTACGCAAGACGTGACAGGAATTGGAAGGGATGGAAATTTAAAAAGCACGTACTGGGGGCAGGGGAAGAGGAAACCAGGCCCCATCCAGATCCTACCCGAGATCCCGGTTACGTCCCCAGGATCCAGGCCCTGGTCCTTGGGGCTCCCAGAAGGCCCGAATCTCCCCGGCGACGCCCTACCCAGGCCCCGCCCAACGGCCGTGGCCTCGACTCCGACGGCCCAGACAGGGCCACCCCTCCGGAAGCTCTACGCCCAGTTTCCGCCTGGCTCCGCCCCACCGCCGCCCTGGCCCCAAAGATCGTATCTGTTTCCCTCCCATTACCGGAAATGCTTCTTCGAATCTCCGCCCCAACCCGCCCACCGAATTCAGGGCGAAGGCCTGGCCAGTACAAGCTTCCCCGAGCTGCCGGAGGCGCTCCACCCAGGCTCTGCCCCAACTCCGCCCATAGGCGGTGAGCGTCCTGGCCAGGCCACACTTCGCGTCCCGCCCATTACCGGAAGCACTCCCCACAGACCCTTCCCAGTCCCGTCGTCCCACTTGCGCGCACGCGCAGGTTTTCGCCGACCCGGAAGCGGCTAGCCGGGAGCGAAGGTCAAATCGGCAGCTGAGGGATTTTAACTTTCGCATTTCTACGTCAGAATCTCAGTCCCCAGGCCTGCACCCCTGGGGCCTGGGGTCTCCGCGCACGTTAGAGTCGCCTCAGCCCCGCCTCCCACCGCGGTAAGTAGGGCGTCGCGGAGAGACGCTCGGAGCCCTGCGAGCGGCGCTGCCGGCGCGGGGGTCCCGGTGCGTTCAGGTCCCCATCTTTCGGAGTCGGTCCCCGCCTGTGGTCTCCCGGCCCTCGGGCCTTCAGACGCCGCCTGCCGCGTTGTCTCCTTGCTCCACGCCGTCCCTGGGCACCGCTCGCACCCGCGCCGTGGGGGTCCGGGGAGATGGGCGAGTGCCCGGCTCGGCCCAGAGAGGCGCGGAGTCTCCCCCTGGCCCTGGGATCGCGCAGACCCCGCCGCCCTGCTGAGATCCCCCCCGTGCAGCCCCGCGTGCAGTGAGAGGACCGATGCCCGGGGACGGCGCCGTCCTCGGTGCGGGCTTTCGGGCGGAAGATCGCGGGGAGTCACGGAGCGCGTCCCCTCCCCGCCGCGAGGATGGGGGGCCTCGTGGAAGCCGTGCCTGCAGAAGGAAGGCCCGGGCAGCGGCCGGCGAGGGAGAGAGGGGGAGCCCGAGAGAGAGAACGGCGGAGGAAAGACCCGTGAGACGGCCCGTGAAGAGACGGCAAGAGAGAGGCTGCGGGAGGGACCTGCCAGTGAGGCCGTGGGAGCGAAGACAGTAACTCAGGAAGGTCGCAAGCGGAGAAAGGAAAAGAGCGAAGTGTGGAGGAAAGGGAGGCGCTCCAGAAGAAGGGGAGCGGAACAGTCGGGGCCCTGGTTATCGGAAGTGGGGCAACAGGGCGAGGTGCTTCGCGCAGACAGCGGGGAGGAAATGGTTGCGAGCCTGCGATCGGTAGGGATGACCGCCCGGAGGGACACAGCGGTGCGAGAGCTTAGCCAGAGGGGGCGCCAGTGAGTCGGGGCGGAGGGGACGGAACTGGGGGAGCCCAGGACACAGATGGGGGCGGGGCGGGGCGGGGAGAGAGGCCGAAATTGACGGAGATCGGAGCAGTCGGGAAGCTTGGGCTGAAAGAGTGAGGGAAGGTGGAAGAGGTCTCAGGAGTTCCCCGGAAAGTGTAGGTGTAGGGAAAGGAAGAGAGAAAAGGGGAGAAAGCGAGGGAGGAGACCGGGGAATCACAGGAAAGGAGAAACAGTGGAGAGAATCAGGAAAGAGAAAGACATGAACAGAGTAATAGACAGAAATCCTCCGGAGGGAGAAAGAAGGGGAAGGCAGATCTGGGTGAGTGGTGGTTAATGAGTCATGGGTGATTCAGTTGTGATGCAGTGACCTGTGTCTCCATAATGTATTTAACTTTAAATTTGCTCGTTTGAATTGGACAGTTGAGAAAGAGAATTACTGTTTATAAGGCTCGTGCATTTTATAATTATTTGCATCATAAAATAGCTTTTAAAAATTAAACATAGAATTACCATATAATCCACCAAATTTACTTCTGTATATATTCACAAAGAAGTTGAAAACAGGGACCAGAACACGTATTTGTACTCTATGTTCATAGCATTACTCACAATAATGAAAAGATACAAAAAAAAAACAAAAACAAAAAAAAACGGGGGGGGCGCCTGGGTGGCTCAGTTGGTTAAGCGACTGCCTTCGGCTCAGGTCATGATCCTGGAGTCCCGGGATCGAGTCCCGCGTCGGGCTCCCTGCTCAGCAGGGAGTCTGCTTCTCCCTCTGACCCTCCCCCCTCTCATGCTCTCTCTCTCATTCTCTCTCTCAAATAAATAAATAAAATCTTAAAAAAAAAAAGAAAAGAAAAGCTACAAAGAGCTCTTCTATGCAGAACACTGAAAATTTGTCTGTACTCTGCAGTTGGGCTTGAATTTGACTCTTGACCGTCAAACAGACTTTGATCTACCATTCCATTCCCCTTGTCAGAGGCAGTAATGCCCTCCAGTTTTCTAAATCTACTGGGTAATTGACTTTTTTCATCTGATCAGCAAAATGTTGAACAGTGAACACTCCTTCCTTTGAAGACATTTTTTTTTTTATGGCTTTCCGGACATTACAGTATTGACATATCTTACCTATCATTTGTGTGTGTGTGTGTTTCAGTTTTCTCCTCTCCACCTTGTTAACTTCAGTTTCCTCTGCATATTTGTCCTCAACACTCTGATTGGAGGAGTACCCCATTGGCTAGTCTTGGACTTCTTCTCTGTCTACACTTGGTGACTTTCCATATCACCGTATCTCAGGGTTTAAACACCCCGAGGTCTCCTAGGTTCACACTCCATCTCAGACCTCTGCCCTAGACGCCAAATTGTGTTCTAAGCTGTCTACTCTACATCTCTGCTGGGACATCTAACAGGCATCTCCACCTTAGTGTCCAAACATGACCTCCTGAACTCCCCCAATTGTGTTCCCTCCAGTCCTCCACCTCCCAGTTAAGAGCAGTGCCATCCTTCCTGGGGCATAGGTGACCATCTTGGCATGTTTTCAAAATACACAGTATATTGTTTGTGTGTGTTTTCACTTATGATAGAATTTAAAAAAAAGACTTTAATCTGGGTGAAAGACTACAGGGCTTCCAAAATTCACTTGAGATGGAGGAGAACATTGCCTGAAGTCCATGGCTGGACATTCCTGATCTATTTCTGTGACCTGATCCCCTGCTTGTCTCCTCCTCCCTCACTGGGATTGAGGCCCACAGATGTCTTTGCTGCTCTTGAGGCCAGGGTCAGCACTGCCCCAGGGCTTTCCCAAGGGTGGTCCCTCTGTCTAGAATTCTCTGACTTTTCAAATGCAGGTGGTGCACTAGGTATTGGTTGTGATATCACCTTCTCGTGGGGCCATCTCTGATGGCCCATTGGGACACTGCCATGTCCCATTCCAGCCTCACACGAGCGTCCCACTCTGGCGTGTAATGCCTGCTCTGCATGGGTCTCTCTGCTCCTTGCTCTTCCACTGTCTGGATACAGGGGACAGGGCCCTAGGAGGGAGCAGAGCCACAGGTGGGTGGGGTGCTGGACTGGTCTCCTCTGGTGCCCCACCCTGACTTCCCATGGGATTGTGAGGCATTTTGCACATTCCTCCTGTGCCCAGTCCCCAGAGATTTCTCTTCTTGTGTTTGGGGTTATGGGGCTCAGCCTCAGTGGTGTTGAAAGTGCCCCAGCTGATTCTAATCTATATCCAGCATTGAGCACCAGGACTCCAGCTCATCCATTAATGAGAACTAAAAGCAGCCCCTGATCTCGAGAGAGGTGAGGGGCGTTGTTCTCTACATGGAGTGTTATCAGGGCAGGTCTGTGACTTTAAAGGGAGGGTTAGTGCAGCCCAGATCCCCACTGCTGCAGCTCGTGTGTGCTTCCCCAGGAGGGGAGTGAGTTCTGCAGGAAGAGGTCACAACACTCACTTGCTGGTCTCCATGTAGCAGTACACTGTCCCTGAATCCCTCCTGTGGCAGTGGGCAGCAGAGCGGGGGGATCTCCCTGTGTGTGTGGTTGTGGTACAGGAAGGTGTATGTTGACCAAGTTCTAAACAGCATATATTTGACACTCAGGATTGACGTCTCAAGACCCATCTTGCCTGGCAGAGAAGCCCAGAGGAGGGAGAGGAGGAAAGCCCAGAGAGTCAGGAATGACTCATTCTCAGGTAAAGTCATATCTCAGTTCCTTGTTCTGTCCTCTGTGTCCTAACCTCCACGTGGCTGGGCTTCTCACACTCTGAAGTGTCCCTCCTGACATGTTTGCTCATGCTCACCCCAGGACCTGCCCTCAGCCCCTCTGTCTGCCTGCAGATTGCAGCTCATACACTTCCATGTATCAATTTAATGGAGATCAAAAGTACTTGTTTCTAGTTTTATTTTTTTTTATTTTTTATTTTTTTTAAAGATTTTATTTATTTATTTGACAGAGACACAGCGAGAGAGGGAACACAAGCAGGGGGAGTGGGAGAGGGAGAAGCAGGCTTCCCGCTGAGCTGGGAACCCGATGCGGGGCTCGATCCCAGGACCCTGGGATCACGACCCGAGCCGAAGGCAGACGCTTAACGACTGAGCCACCCAGGCGCCCCACTTGTTTCTAGTTTTAAAAAAAATCTTGCAGGGGGTGCATGGCTTGTTTGGTGGGTAGATCATGAGACTTGATCTGGAAGTCATGAGTTTGAGCCCCATGTTGGTAGAGATTACTTTAAAAAAAAAATTGTGTTTAGGGGCGTCTGCCTTTGGCTCAGGTCATGAGCCTGGAGTCCCAGGATCGAGCCCCGCATTGGGCTCCCTGCTCAGCAGGGAGTCAGCTTCTCCCTCTGCCCCTCACCCTGCTCATGTTCTCTCGCACTCTCTCTGTCTCTTTCTCAAATAAATAAAATACTTTTTAAAAAAATTGTGTTTACACGGTTGTTTTTGTAAGCAGACTAAGTAGAATAACACTGACAGTTTTATTTACATCTAATACAATTTGCACATGTTCTTGTACCAGAAATGCACATGAGTAAAAAATGATAGATAATAAAGATGTATGTAAAAATAGATGTCATTTAAGGACGGCTGGGTGGCTCAGTCGGTTAAGCGTCTGCCTTCGGCTCAGGTCATGATCCCAGAGTCCTGGGATCGAGTCCCACATCGGGCTCCCTGCTCAGTGGGAGGCCTGCTTCTCCCTGTCCCCCTGCTTGTGTTCCCTCTCTCACTGTGTCTCTATCAAATAAATAAATAAAATCTTAAAAAAAAAAGATGTCATTTAGAAACTAGTGTTTTGATTTCAGTTATTTTCAATGTATGTGTTTTCTGTCCACACGTGTGTGTGAACACTAGCCCATGGTGTGTAAAAAAGACGACATTTCATAAATAACTTTTATTTATTTTAACATTGGAAGTACGTCAGACATTTTCCATGGCCTTAAATTTATTTCTACACCATCATGGAAATGAGATAATAGCAGTAGGAATATGGTGTATGTGCATATGTGTGTGCAGGCATATATATTGACCTTTTATCCAGGCTTATGTTTCAGCCTTGAACTTGTTTCAGGTTTTCTTCATTAGCAAACCCTCTGTCACCACACGTTTATTGTTGCATGCATTACTTCACTGTGTGGCACTGTGAGTTCCATCCTAAAGCCTGACCACTTGGTTCAGGTGCAGGCTCTGCCATTTATATCTCTTTGACCAGAAGCATGTACATTAGAGTGTGTGTGACAGAGTTGGGTCCTGTGTAAGATGGGAACAAATACTAATTTAATGGGATGCAATGTCCTTATACAGGTTAACACTTGTAAAGCATTAGAGTAATGCTTACCGTACGGGAAGTGTTCAGAACTTCAGATGGTTTTATTATTATGAGATTCCCATTTTGCAATGTACACCTTTCATTAACACTACTATAGACTTTGTCAACCCTGAAGACACTGCTCATGCAGAAATTTGCTTGTCATTTGGTGCGTACAACATACTATCTAGAACTTGCATATAGTTTACCATTTGTAGATGTTTTTGCATTTGTGTATTTTATCTGGCACGATATTGTAAAATCCTCAGTTTAGCTGAAGGAAATCCTGTGATGGAAAAGTGTAACAAATCCAAATCAGGGATATAGGACTTGCTCAAAATGATCTTTTGTGGACCTATTGAAGCCCTCATTTCTATTTGACCCTTACACCTCTCTCCTCCTCTCATTTTTATGAAATAAGTAGTTCCCTAATGGCCTCTTGGTGAAATGTGCTTTCATTTCAGGGACGCTTGACCTTCAGGGATGTGGCCATAGAATTCTCTCAGGAGGAGTGGGAGTGCCTGGACCCTGCTCAGAGGGCCTTGTACAGGGACGTGATGGTGGAGAACTACAGGAACCTGGTCTTCCTGGGTGAGGATTAGTTTCCCTACAGAGGTTGGGTACTGCTCTGGTGTATCTGTGTTTTTCTTGGGGATTTCTTGGGAGCCCCTTTCCTGCTTGACTGAGATCGAAGCCCTGCTGATTCAGAAATGAAAAGCTTCCCAGTGTGGTATCTGGATTTTAAACGCAGATGATCATGCAGGTAGTGGTGGTGCTAGAAGGAACAAGACCTTATGTCAAAACTTTAAAATACCACATTCCCTGGTTTTACACCCGTAATTTTGATTTGGTCGTTGTGGGAAGAGAGCTGGATATCTGTATATGTCAAACATTCAAGCATTAGGAAGAAGAATGTCACTGAACAAATTTGTGAAATGCTATTCTAGACCCGCCTGTAATGAATGTCCTTGGTCTCAGCTGACAAAGGACTGGGAAAACCCCAGGACATCATCTGCTGTTTTCCATATCAGCAGGAATCTCTTTCTGAGCTGAATATTATCTCCACTGTGGAGAGTACTTGCTCTGAAATGCTAAGAGTGGGGTAAAACAAGCAACAAAGCCCAGGTGGGTGGGAAGGTGTCAAAGATGTGAACACAAGTAGGGATAGATGGCAGAGAGAAAGTGACTTCCAGAAATGTCATTTGGAACATTCCCCCCGGATAGGAGAGGTGGTTGGAAAAGAAGAGTTGATTTCTCATGGGCTCTCAAAGGAACTTGTCGTTCTCCCTCTCCTTCACTCTCTTCTTTGTATGTGTGTTTCCTGCCCTCCTCGGTGGTTCTGCTGCTCTTGTAGCGACAAGGGCAGTATTTAACATGACCCAGACATGCTGTTCCCTGCCCCCCCTAGGGCCCTTTACTGATTCAACCTTGGGGAACACATGAAGGGCTCTTTGTAAGGGGTATTTTTCCTTCCTTAGCCTCTCCTTCCCTACTCAGTCCACACAGATCTGATCTGAAGCTCCCCTTCGTCCTGACTGCAGGCCTTCTCCAGCTTGCATCCCATTTCATGTGCTGAGTGACCTGTCATGATGGGAACATCGGCTGCTCTTTTGCATCTGGGACTCCAGGCAGGAGCATGGGCTGTCTCAGGCCCTCTGCCTATTCCGTGCCTCTACCATATCCTCATTTCCACTTTCGCCCTTCAGGAGCATGTGTACTGGGAATAGAAGGGTGTTTTGAAATTGCTATTCAGCAGTGCTATATATAGAGAAGGTGGGGAAAACCTTTGATTCCCAGTCTTTCAAGGGGACTGTATCTCAGGCTTTGGGCCCTCAGCCTGGAGTCCGTAGGCAGACCCTAGGCCTGTTTGAACATCCCACAACATCAGACCCCCTTCCTTAATTTCCTGTCTTTGTCTCCCTCTTGTAGCTCCTCCTTAGTCTGGGAGTGTGGGAAACCCTTGGCTGTCCCTGATTTCCTGGTCTCCTAAGTTTGTATGGTGTTGCCTGTGAAATTTTCTTGGTTCTGAAATACAGTTCCTTAGCATCTGAAATTTTATCCTCATATTTTGGACAACTGGGCTCTGTGGTGAACTCTGCCAGGAGGAATTTTACTGGGTAAAAGAACATTCTGGATGGAGAACACATACATTTAGATGTCAGAGCATCATCCTGCTAAGTAGAGACGTGGGCCCTGAAGCATCTGAGTAGTGTGGTCAGCATGGTCCAGGATGCTGACATTGAGTGTAGCATAAGAGCCTGGCTTATGGCTCCAGTTGTCCTTCCGGTTTTTGGTGTGTCACCAAAGTGTGTCTTGAGGACATTGTGGCAATGTTGATGGAGTACATTAAGGAGTATACTTGATTTTGCATGAACAAGTACAGGAATTTTTTTTTTTTTTTTTTTTAAAGATTTTACTTATTTGAGAGAGAAAGAGATCACGAACGGGGTGGGGGAGTAGAGGGAGAAGCAGACTCCCCACTGAGCAGGGAGCCCAATGCAGGACTTGATCCCAGGACTCTGGGTTCATGACCCAAGCCATAGGCAGATGCTTAACCGACTGATCCACCCAGGCACCCCCTTTATTTTTTAAAAAATATTTTATTTATTTACCAGAGAGAGGAGGAGAGAGGGAGAGAGAAGCAGGCTCCCCACTTAGCAAGGAGCCCAATGAGGGACTTGATCCCAAGATCCTGGGATCATGACCTGAGCCAAAGGCAGAGGCTTAACCAACTGAGCCATCCAGGCCCTGTGAACAGGTACAGGAATTTATTCTAGGGAGAAAATTTTCTGCCTTCATAACCTCATCTGTGAGGCTGCTGTCCAAACTATCGTTCATGCAACAGTGTTCATTCCATGTGTGTGCTGTGTTCCTTCTTCAACAAATAAGATTTGATTTATTGTGTTGAGGGAATTTATGAGTTCATGATGCCTACCTTATTGAACTCTACCGCATTTCTATATTTGAAAATGTTTGTACTTTGATCTGCAGGGTTCCATGTATTATAAACTTGTTATTTTTGTATTTAATCATTGGTTATGTATTTGATGACACTTCTCGGTGTTCTTTATTTTATACCCTTTTTTTGTGTGGGACTGTTTGATCAAAGAATGAATGTTGGTTCATATATTTTATAAGATTTCCTTCCTGGGGCTCCTGGGTGGCTCAGTCGTTAAGTGTCTGCCTTCGGCTCAGATCATGGTCCCAGGGTCCTGGGATCGAGCCCCACATCGGGCTCCCTGCTCTGCGGGAAGCCTGCTTCTCTCTCTCCCATTCCCCCTGCTTGTGTTCCCACTCTTGTAGCGACAAGGACAGTATTTAACATGACCCAGACATGCTGTTCCCTGCCCCCCCAGGGCCCTTTACTGGTTCAACCTTGGGGAGCACTATGTCTCTATCTGTCAAATAAATAAAATCTTTAAAAAAAAAAAAAAAAGATTTCTTTCCTGAATGTTAAGGGTTATAGCTGATCAGCTGTTTTCCCAAAACCTATATAACTTCTAGAATAGAGAAAATATATTCATAGTTAAATTTTTCCATGAGTGTTGCTTGACTTTATAATTGGTTATTAAGAAACACTTTTCTTGGAGTGCCTGGTTGGCTCAGTCGGAAGAGCATGTGACTCTTGATCTCAGGGTCATGAGTTCTAACTCCGTTTTGGGTGTAGAGATTGCTAAAAAAAATAAGCTTAAGAAAATACTTTTCTCATTTGAATGAATTTGGATTTTTTAAATGGGGAAACTTGGATATCTTGAGAATATACTTTTGTTTTGAAGTGACTGTGTTCCTCCCAGAATTAGAGGTGATTCATCCATAATTAGTTATATAAGATACCTTCATTTTTCTATGGTTTATTTTAATTTGTCTAAACATATCTTGTTGGGTTTTATAGGAGTTGTATAGACTTTTATTTTGGTTCAGGTGTTTTATTTTAAGAAATCATTTCCCTATCTAGATTTGCCATGAAACTCTTCGTACACTGAACTAATACTTAAATATCTAATTTTATTTTATAGATAAATACCAATTTCTTGCACTTCATGTACTTCATCACTGTTTCTTATGATACAGTTTTCCACAAAATTTTGTAAGGTTCTGGAAATCCCCATTTTTCAGCTAACTCATGATGATTGTTTTGTTTTCCATCTTTTATTTAACCTGAACTCTAATTAGTGTTCACATTGTCCTTGTTGACCCATATCTCAGTGTTCTATTGTTCTCTGGCCACTATTGTTTCTTATGTTGCTGGGTTACCTCTGCACAGCCATGTGCTGCATGAATCTCCTGGAACTGGCAAATCCTGTTTTTGCCCTTAACTGCTGCTGATAATACTGCCTTCATTAGAAGTTATTCCTTGTTTTCGATGCAGTGACTCTTCAGGTTACCTATAGTCTCCTGATAATCTTCGTGAATTCAGGATTTAATAATTTTGGGCACGTGCACAGTAATTTTTCTTCATGATAATTATATGTTTACTAATATAGTAAAAGCCTCCCTCACGTCATTTCTGTTTCATGTGCGGGGAATTATGTTGAGAGATCCATGATAGAATTTCAGGTAATGAGAGGAAGCCAGCCTAAGAAAAACTATTATTTTTACCTAATATAATCAGACTTAGTTTCAAAATTTAACATATTAAAATTGGAAAATATTTATTTTTAGATCTGTTGCAAAATAAATCACTTAGATTGTTAGCTAGTTTAAAAAGAACACTTTAGGGGTGCCTTTATGGCTCAGTCCATTAGGTGTCTGCCTTCAGCTCCAGTCATAATCTAGCCCCGTGTTGGGCTCCCTGCTCAGTGGGGAGCCTGCTTCTCCCTCTCCCTTTGCCTCTCTCCTTGTTCGTGCTCTTTCTCTCAAATAAATAAATAAAATCTTAAAAAATAAATAAATAAAATAAAAGGAACGCTTTATTAGAGTGGAATTCACATAACATGAAACTAGCCATTTTAAAGTGAATAGTTCATTGGCATTTCACGCATTTAGCAGTTGTTCAACTACTACTTCTGTCTGGTTGTATATTTCCAACCCTCCAATTTACTGTTTTTTACCCATTAAGCAGTTTCTCCACATTTTCCTCTGTTCCCAGTCCCTGGAAACTACCAGCCTGTGTTTTGTCTCTGTTTATGTATTCTACGGAATTTTTCTTTTTCAATATTGTCTGGACTCTTAGGGGCCCTTTGCAGTTCCATATTTATTGGATCATGTTTTTCCACTTCTACAAAAATAGTTTTTGGAATTTTGATAGTGTCTGTGTAGAATCTCCAGACCACTTTGGTCAATATTACCATCTTTAAAAATATGAAATCTTCCAATCCATTGTATGCTATGTCTTTTCCCTTTATGTAAACATGTTTAATTTCTCTCAGCAGCATTTTACAGTTCTCAGCCTTACAGGTCTTTCACCTCCTTGGTTATTTCATGGCATTTATTCTTTGGATGGTACATTTTACATGGTATCATTTCTAAAATTTCCTTTCCGGGTTGTTCGTTATATTGTATAAAGCACAACTGAGTATCCTGCAACTTTCCTGACATCACTTATAACATAAGATTTTGTGTGTGTGTGTGTGTGTGTGTGTTTACGTCTTTCAGGGGATATTTCATGGAATTCTATATATGTAAATCTATGACATCTTCACACACAGATAATTCTCCTTTTTCCCTCCAATATCTGTGCTTTTTTTTTTTTTTTCTTGTTTTATTGTTCTGGTTAGAATTTGCAGAATAATGTTAGATACCATCAATGAAAATGGATGTCCATGTCTTATTTCTTATCTCAGGAGGAAATCTTTACTGTTTCATCTAGGATATTAGCTATAGGTTTTAATAAATAATCTTTAAGAGGTTGAGTAAAGTCCCTTCTCTTCTGAGTATGCTGAGTGTTGTCATAAGAGTTTTAGAATTTTTCAAATATTCTGCATAGAATGAGATCATTATGTCGGTTTTTTCTGTTTGTCTTACTGTTAATATGGATTATTACATTTATAAGCGTTTATAGGTTGAACCTTCCACTGTTGAATTCTTGGAACAAGTCCCTCTTATTTATGTTGTGTAAGTTTTTTTCTTTTTTCTTTTTTTTTTTTTTTTAAGATTTTATGTATTTATTTGAGAGAGAGCATGGAGGGGGAGGGACAAAGGAAGAGGGAGAAGCAGATTCCCTGCTGAGCAGGGAGCCCAGCATGGACTCAAGACCACTACCCAAGCCAAAGGCACACGCTCAGCCCACTGAGCCGTCCAGGTGTCCCTTTGTTGTATAATTTTAATAAAACTTTCTATTCAGTTGGCTGGTGGTTTTTCTTTTTTTAAAGATTTTATTTATTTATTTGAGACAGAGAGAATGAGAGAGAGCACATGAGAGGGGGGAGGGTCAGAGGGAGAAGCAGACTCCCTGCCGAGCAGGGAGCCCGATGTGAGACTCGATCCAGGGACTCCAGGATCATGACCTGAGCCGAAGGCAGTCGCTTAACCAACTGAGCCACCCAGGCACCCCCAGTTGGCTGGTGTTTTGATGAAGACTTTTACATCTGTATTTATAAGGGATATTATTCTGTAGTTTTCTTTTCTTGTGATGTCTTTGTCTGGTTTGGTATTGGAATAATGTTGGCCTCAGAGGCACCAAGGGGGTGCGGTCGGTTAAGGGTCCAACTTGGTTTCAGCTCAGGTCCTGATCTCAGGGTCATGAGATCAAGCACCCTGTCGGGCTCTCATGCTGAGCGTGGAGTCTGCTTAAGACTCTCCATGCCTCTCCCTCTGCTCTTCCCCTCCAGTACTCACTCACTTTCTCTCTCTAAAATAAATAATCTTTGGGGGGAAATAAGATTAACGTTGGCCTCTGAGAATAAAGTAAGAAGTGTTCCATCTTTTATTTCTTATAGTGCTGTTTTACTTACAAGGAACTTTCTCACCTTTTGTTTCTCTTGGAAGCCTTAATTTCGCCCATATTTTCAAAGGACGGTGTTTCTGGGGATAGAATTGATTAACAGATTTTTGTTTTGTTTTTTCCTTTGTCAGCACTTTAAATACGTTATCCCATTGTCTCTGGACTTTGTGATTTGGCTAAAAAATCAGCTCTGAAAGTTATTGTGCGTCCTTTGTATGTGATGCTTCTCCCTTCCTACTTTCAAAGTTCTCTTTTTTACCTTTGTCTTTCCACATACTGATTATGATTTGTTGCAGTGTGCGTCTCTGTTGCAGTTTTTCTTAATTGCATGTTCACTGAATTCTTAGATTTGTAGACTCTTGTCTTTTAACATTTAAGAAATTGTCTACCATATTTCTTCAATAATCCTGCCTCCTTCTCTTTCTCCTTTCTTTTTGGGACTCCCATTGTTCATATGTTGGCCCACATGATGTTGTCCTGCAGCACCATTAGACTCTATTCACTTATACTCAGTCTTTTTCTTTGTGTTCCTCATACAGGGTAATTTCAACTGATCTCCCTGCCACTTATTTGAATCTTACTTCCACCTCATTAGACCTGATATTGAATCTCTCTATGAAATTTTTCAATTCAGGTATTTTACATTTCAGCTTCAGAATATGTTTAGTTTCTTTTTCCACCTTCTATCTCTTTATTGATATTCTCTGTTTATTGATACAGTATTTTTCTGATTGCTTTTTAATTCTTTGTCCATCATTCCCTTTAGCTTAAATAGTTGATTTAAAGTGTGTGTTTAGTAAGTCCAAAGTTTGGGCTTCCTTAGGGCCAAGTTTTGTTATTTATTAAATATTTATTTTTCTGTATGGGTCCTGCTTTATTGTTGTGTTGCCTCTTTGTAACTTCTGTTTAAAATGAGACATTTTGAATATGTTGAAACTTTGGAAATCATAATATTCTCCCTCCAAGGGTGGTGTATTTTTTTTATGTCTCTTGTGATTGTTGTTGTGTGTGTGTTTGTTTCCCTCAACAAATTTTGTGTGGCGTATTTTCTTTGTTACGTGTAGCCATTGGTGCCTTTGGTTAGCTTATTGGTCAGCTAGTGATTCAGCAGATTTCTTGAAACTGCTGGAACCAAACACAAAATAAACCAACTTTTCACCCTTTGTAGATGAGTTGTGTGTGTGTGTGTGTGTGTGTGTGTGTGTGTGTTGGGGAGTGCATGAACCATACAGGGTACAAGTTTAAGACAACAGTGCCTTAGTGCCTTATCCTTCACTACTGCTTGCTCAGAATCTGCTGGTCAGCAGGAATGCTTGGGGGTTTCTCAGGTCTTTTCTCATGTGTCTAGTCCTGGGCATGCCTGCAACCTTCTAGGGTCCCTGGAATATGTGGGGGATTTTCAAAGCCTTTACTCCCCAGTGCACCTCACTCCCCAGTGTTTTCCTCAGGGTTTTCAGTTTGCCCATTGTTTGCCTCGGTTGTTATCCCTGCCCTAGGTGGCAGTGGCTACTAGACTTACCTTTAAATGTTTGTGACGAATGGCACCTGGTCATTATCTCCATTTAGGTAGAGATCTGAGGTAGGCCAAAGAAAGCAAGCATTTTGAGCCACTCCTTCAGGGAGCCAGCAGGCAGATTAAAGAAACAAACAAATAACCAGTCAGAATTCTTTGAAGATGCCATCTCTTCCCTGAGGTTTGGGAAGCCTGTATCCCTTGCACACTGCCATCTTCAAGGCCACTTCCTAGCTGGGATGCAGGGCACAGAGTCAGGGCAAGTTAAAACAGCTACCTTTTTCTTGATTAAGAGTGTGCCTTTGTTGCTGGAATCCCATGATTAATTTCCAGGGTTCTTATAAAGTTCATTCTGACAGTTTTTGGTAGTTCATCTCCTGCTGGAGTCTCCTGGAGTTCCCTTCTTTGCCATTTCCATGTCACAGAGCCCCACTGTTAATCTCTATACTATTACATGTTTATCAGAACTTCTGTTTCACAATGGATGATTTCAACATATTTTCCGTTTATGATATTGTGTGCTTCTCCTGAAATTCAGCCTCTTTCTTTTTCTCTTATGGGTGAGCTCTTTAGAATTCTGAAGTCTATATACATTTTTAAATAAATGAATGTATTTATTAATTACTTCTGGATTTGCCTTGGGTTACTAACATGTTTATTATTTTTTATTATGATTAACACATAATTAATTTCTACATATATTATGATATATAATCACAATTCACTGATTATTACATTGCAGTATGCCTCTTTTGCCTGGCTATATTTTTGGAAGAAGTATTCAGAAGAATATTTTATTATCCTTGAATGTTATTTTAATATTGTAGACAACAAGTATTCAAGAATTGACCTTTTTTTAAAAATTTTTTTATTGTTATGTAATGAATTGACCTTTTTTTTAAAGATTTTATTTATTTGAGAGAGAGATTGCAGAGTGAGAGAGAGAGCATGAGCAGGGGGAGGTGCAGAGGGAGAAGGAGAAGCAGGCTCTCCACTGAGCAGGGAGCCCAATGTGGGACTCGATCCGCAGGACCCTGGGATCATAAACTGAGCCAGAGGTAGACGCTTAACCGACTGAGCCACCCAGTCGCCCCTCCAGAATTGACTTTAATATATATATATATTTTTTTCAAGTATGATTCACCTCTATCCCTCCTATCAGGCTTTTAGGCTTTGGGGTGCCTGTGGAAAATTCCTGTCTTTCAGGGCACTGGAACTTTTGATCACAGAGCATTTAAATAGGCTTCCCTGAAAATAATTTGAACTACATGTAATTACTCTTTCATTACTGAGGAATCTTATGTTTTTTTGTGTTTCTGAACATTTGCACACCATGGTTGAGAAGCTTGATAACTCTGTTAATTATGAATTCTACTTTTGGTGTAATACTTTTTCTTTTCTTTTCTTTTTTAATCTTTTATTTATTTATTTGAGAGGGAGAGGGAGAAGCAGGCCCCCCACTGAGCAGGGAGTCCGACGCGGGGCTTGATCCCAGGATTCTGGGATCATGACCGGAGCTGAAGGGCAGACACCTAATGACTGAGCCACCCGGGTGCCCCTGGTGTAATACTTTTTCATATAAAATATCTGTCTTTAAACTCTGGTTAATATGAAGCCTGTCATTATTTATATATTACAGATATATCTACTAGATGTATGAGCAAAGAATTACCACCAAAAGACAACATTAATAATGGAGAATTATTCCAAGCGTTGATTTTGGAAAGACATGTAAGTCATGACTTTGATGACTTTGGTTTGAGGGAAGTCCAGCAAGATGTGAACAAATTTGAGACTCAGTGGCTATATGAAGAAAAAAATTACAAAGGAATGACTACATCCCATTATAAAAATCTCACTTGTAGAGAAGACCAACAACATCACAAATTCTGGAATAATTTCGCTGTAAAGCATAGTGTTTCCATAAGAAATAGTAAATCTCAATATTATAAACATGATATGACGAATAAGGCACTAAAAAACAAGGTAGGCTCTTCAGGAAACAAGTATAGGAACTGTTTGGACAGTGGGCTTGGATTAAGCTTTCATTCACATCTGGCTGAACTGCAAAGATTTCAAACCGAAGAGGAAATTCATGAAAGTAATCAAGTTGAGAAGTCTACCAAAAAGACTTCAGTTTCACTTCAAAAAATTCCTTCTAGTGTCAAAACCAACATTTTTAACAAATATGGGAAGGTTCTTACACATTCTTCATTACAGACACAACACCAAAAAACACCGAAAAGAGAAAAACCTTACAAATGTAAAGAGTGTGGGAAGACTTTTAGCCATTGCTCAACCTTAGCTACTCATCAAAGAATTCATTCTGAGCAGAAACCTTACAAATGTAATGAGTGTGGCAAAGTCTTTAACAGGTTCTCAAACCTCACGAGGCATCAGAGAATCCATACTGGAGAGAAACCATATAAATGCAATGTATGTGGTAAGGATTTTATGATACGTTCACACCTTTGGGGACATGAGCGAATTCATACCGGAGAGAAGCCTTACAAATGTAATGTGTGTGGCAAAGCCTTTTCTGAGTGTTCAAATCTTGTTCAACATAAAAGAATCCATTCTGGAGAGAAACCTTATAAATGTAATCAGTGTGGTAAGGAATTTATCACTCGTTCACACCTTTGGGGTCATGAGAGAACTCACACTGGAGAGAAACCTTACAAATGTAATGAGTGTGGAAAGGCCTTCTCCGGGAGTTCAAATCTTACTCAACATAAGAGAATTCATGCTGGAGAGAAACCGTATAAATGTAATGTATGTGACAAGGCCTTTAGTCAGAATTCAAGCCTTACAGTTCATCAGAGGATTCATACTGGGGAGAAGCCTTACAGATGTCATGAATGTGGGAAAGCCTTTAAGCAGTATTCAAGCCTGAGTAGACACCAGAATATACATAGAATGAAGATAAAGATGTAGAAACTGTGGTAAGGCTTTTATTAAATGTTCTCACATTTGGAGTCATGAGGGAATGCATACTGCAAAGAAACTTTACAAAACAATGGCATGGCCTTCGTGCCATGACTTGACCTCAGGAATCACCAAAGATTTCATGTTGGGGAAAACCCTAGAAACACAACGTGTGGTAAATTGCTTAAGTAGGTGGTACACTGTACTGTGCATGAGAGAATTCTTACTAGTGAGAACTAAATCTAGTTCTTGAAGATAAATCAAATGTCAGACTCTGTGGGAAAATTAAAAGAATGATTTAAAATTCCTGAGACAATGGGTATCAAAGGAGCAGGGGCATCTATGGAAATGCCCACTTATCTTCAGTTTATACAGTCATTTTATTCGTTTAGATTGCGTGATGAGGTTTATTTACTTTATTATTGAATTTGGACCTGTAGTTGGAAGTCTGTGAATGATGTTATGTCTTCATCACAGACTTTCCATGGGTTGCCACAGTGGTGTCTGTAATGGAACTTCTTGTTTTGGTCCTAATGTGAATGTTGGTTTTTTTTAATTTTCAAGTCACTTGTTTCTTGCTGATATCTAGGAAGATAGTTAACTTTTGTATTATGACCTTGTATCTTGCAGTCTTGGTATAATTGCACATTAGTATTTTCTCTACCATACTGTGGCGCATTGTATGAGATAGTTCTGAAGTTCTGGTGACAGGTGTCTTGTTCCTGGCATAAAAACACAGGACTCTGTTACCATACTAATACTGATTGAGTCTTGCAGTCATTAAGTTCAACTTGGTCATGGTGCAAATTCTGGACGTATTGTGTTGCAATCAGAGTATCCGGTTTATTAAGGTCTTGGAAGCTTCATGCATCATTGGTATTGGCATATAAAAAAAAAATCTTTGCACATAAATGGAAACTGGTCACAGCCAAAATTATAAATAATATGCCAGTAATCTGAAATATGAGTACAAGTTATGAAAACACCTAAGTGTAGATCTAGATTATTATAAGAACATAGCTATCCAGCTTTTTCAGTATATCATAATGGTTAAATCATGTGCTTTGATACCTCCTCCAGTAACTTTAAGTCCCCAGTCTGCTGCTAAACAAGGAGTGGAGATAGTGAAATCACTCAACCCTGTGTGCCTAAGTTCTCCTCCTTAGAATGAAACTAGTAGTAGTCCCATCCCTGATTTTTGATGAATGAAGACTTTAAGTGCCTTGACAGCAGAGATTCTTACATTGTGAGTGTTCTTTAGAATTCCCCATTCAACTCTTAGAAGGCTCTTAATGAAGCTAAAATTAAATATTTTTTTCTTAAAGATTATATTTATTTTCGAGAGGGAGAGAGCACGAGAGAGTGGGGAGGAGCAGAGGTAGAAGGAGAAGCAGACTCCCTGCTGAGCAGGGAGCCTGACGTGGAGCTCAATCCTGGGACCCCACGATCATAACCTGAGCCGAAGGCAGATGCTTAACCCAGTGAACCACCCAGGCACCCCTAAAGTAAGTATGTCTTAATGGGAAGTAAGCATAAGTGAAGAATATTGGTTTACACTTGAAATGGTAAATATAGGCGAAACTTCAGGTTCCCATGCAGCATCCCCCAAAGGAAGAACGTCACTCATTGCGAACCATCAGATGGCCTCCAGGTTTTTGGCAGTAGGAATGGTCTTCTTAATCACAGATGCTGATTAGAATCCTGGGGAATTTCTTTCTTCTTCCTTTACCAGTATATCTTCCTTTTTGTCATAGGTGAAGGTTAAGGTCCACAGATTTGAGTGTCAAGCACCTGTTTGTAGCCAGCTCCTTAGTCATCATCTTTACAGGAATCTCGAGCACAGTGACAGCTTTTGGGTAGGAACATTTCCCTGATTTTGGATGTAAATTTGTTTGCTGGGTCATAGAGTGATACTGTGCTATATTATGTAACATGTAACTGAGGAACCTGGGTGAAGGGATGAAGTTTACAAGGACTTTTTCATACAATTTTTGCACATTTTGCGTATCTGTAATAACTTCAAAATAAAGAGTAACGAAAGGCAACATGATATGCTGTGGCTTTTAGAAAGTTCAGGTGCAGCTCTTTGTTCATATGAGAATAAAGGACATTATAGGTACATCCAAAAATCCTTCTTAAAACTTAAATTCTTAAAACTTGTCACCTCCTTGGTAATTTTCCAGAACACCGTAAATGGGATATGCCTCCACCCCACATAACATGCGGCTTACTCTGCTTCTAAGAACTGAATCAGCAGCCCAGGAGTAGAACCAAAGGATTGGGTGTTTAAAGTGTTTGCTTTATTATGCATTGGTGGATACTTTGTTCTAGAACCACCTCTAATCTTGCATGAAGTGGGCAGATGATCTGAGGAAAGGGGAAGATGAGTCCGGAAGTACCATTGAAATTCTCTTACTGTCTGCATGAATGAAGCTTCCATCTTTCCCTTAAGAACAGGGTCAGAAACTCCTCATTCTGGACAGAGTTCTCCGAGACGCGATAGAAGAGGCAGATCTACACAAGGTGAGGTCCTGCCTTGGGGAGGGAAGCTAGCCTCACACAAGACAACCAGCTTTCTGTAGGTCTCTAATATCATGACTGTGCACATAAGCTCTCTGAGCAGCGTCTCTGCAGTCCCTGTGTTCTAGGAGGATACTGTGGAGTACTGGTGAATGCCCCAGTCCCTGAAATGAAATGCACGCACACAGACATACATTTCCTAAAGTGGCAATGGGAAGATTCTTTTGTTTTCACACATTATGAGACAAGAATAGGAGTATAAGGATTGGTTCTGGTGTAGCGTGAGGATTATTACTTGAGTTTGGTGGCAGAACTTCTGGGTCCTGACTTTGGAGAAGTTTGACCTTTGTAAGTTTCAGATAGCTCCTTCAGGGTGGTGCCTTCCCTGTAAGGCTCAGTTGCACATTGTGTGGGGACCTTTCTGTGAAATCATATGATTGATGGAAGGCATTGTACATGCATGTGCCTTCCTATACTAGTTACAGGTCATGGGATGTAGTATCCTAATTCAGGTGCTTCTCAGTTTCATCTTGTGAGCATACCACCCCAAAAGCTATTCTCAGTCTCCCATGTCATCCCTCTGCATTCTGCCTTCACCCTTGTAACCTAATCTCCTGTTGTCCTAACCTGGAGGGTTTGCCTGAGGATAAAAGTGAGGTAACATGTCCCCCGCGATTTCTTAGACACAGCTGATTAATCTCTTTTTTCCTATATCCCTTTTCCTCACATGATCGATGCAGTCCCAGGACTGCAGTAGAGCCTGGGGTTGTCATAGGAGAGAGAATTCATAGGGAATGTTAGAAGAAAGAAAGCTTTAGGATAGAGAATAAGAGGACTTTTTAAACAGATGAGGGCCTCCCAAACATGTCAGCCTACAGAAGACCCACAATGGTACCATGCAGTGGCAGTTACAAAACAGATTTGGTGCACCTGGCTGGCCTGGTAGAGCATGTGAGTCTTGATCTCGGGGTTGGGAGTTTGAGCCCCACGTTGACTGCAGAGTTTACTTTAAAAAAAAAAAAAAAAATGAAAGTTTAAAAACGAAAATACAGGCTTGATCAATAGCTTGAATATAGTCCATTTCTTTAGTGAACAGGCGTTCGCCCACCATGGCTTCTGAATGAGTGAACGCAGATGATTATGTCAGTACCGATGATTTGTTTCTGTATCTTACACAAAGATTGGTGCCCTTAATCTCAGTCTGTAGTTTTTCAAGTGGCAGGTCAAATAACTCCAACTTGGGCAGTAGCCCAAGATCCTGGATTCTGACCACTGAGTAAAACAACCACATCAGCTCTCATTTCTGCATGTCCAACAGAGAGGCTAAACATCCAGCCCAGTGAATCCATGAGGTTTTAGCTTTGGTGAATCATCAGTGGACCAGTGTCAGACAATGAGGGGAATCTGGGATCACTGAGGTCCTCACGGTGCCAGGGGCTCTGCTTCAGGCTGCAGATATGACTTATTCCTATAGAGCTGAGATGTTACTGATGCCAGTCAGGATTCATCCTTAAACATACCGTCTCCATTTGACCAGCAAGTCTTTTAGGATCTCTCTGCGTTGTTGCTTGTAGGGTTCAAGTTGCCTCATCAACATGGGAATGTTAACACCAGACAGTCACAAGTCCTGAATGGGTCATGCTTCACTTCTGACAAATGTTTGGTAGCAAGCTAATGGCTGCTTTTCCAAAGCAATTTACCTGTTAGTTATGTCACACCTGAGTTCAGGGGCACTTGGGTGGCTCAGATGGTTAAGCATCTGCCTTCGGCTCAGGTCATGATCTCAGGGTCCTGAGATTGAGCCCCGCATCGCATCAGGCTCCCTGTTCAGCAGGGAGTCTGCTTCTCCCTCTCCCTCTGCCCCTCCCCCCTGCTCGTGCTGTCTTTCAAATAAATAAAATCTTTAAAAAACAAACAAACCTGAGTCCAAACCCCAAGGGAGCCTTCCAGATGGAGACTGCCTGCCTTTGTCAGAGACTCCAAATGGTGGAATCTGGCACAGTTTTGCATTGTCTCCGATACTCCAGAAGTCTGTTAAAGGGCTGGGCCTCTTTGGGGTTTTTTTGATGGTGGTCGTGGGCAAGATACAACAGTGTATTTTTCTTTATTGCTAGAATGAGCATTGCACATTGCCCATATAATTCCAATAAACTGTAATTGGAAAAGGACTCTGAATTTGTTACATTTTATCAGCCTTACCTACTGGCAGAGAAGGAATGTCCTAGACAGGCCTATTGAGACTAATGTCTAACTTTCCAACAAACAATTCATCCACATAGGGAAACACTGACAGCAGAGGGTTGAGATAAATGTGCTATATTCTCACCCACACACTGAAGGGAAATGCCTGGGGAGTTTGCTTCACTAACACTGTTCTCCCTTCAGCCCACCCTGAAGAATGTGGATAAATACGGAATCTCATACAGATGGTGATGGTTGTGAAAATTGGCAAAACATTTTGAAAAGTATTGGAAGTATGAATGAAAGCTGAACAGATGTAAGCCTATGACCATGAAATTTACTATTCCAACAGAAATTTGTACATGTGTCACCAAAGCACAAATTCTAGAATTTACATAGCAGAGCTATTCACGATAGCCCGAAACTGAAAACCACCCACATGTGCATCAGGAGTGGAAGGGTTAAAAGTAATTGTTAGATGTTTATACAATGGAATTCTATTAAATGTTACGAGTCCACACAATGGAACTAATGCTAGTAAATGACCTACAACATGTGTTAATAAGAATGAGTTCATGAAACCATTTGGAATGTGAAGCCAAATAATAGAAGATTCTATTCTGTATGGGTCCATTTCTATAAAGTGCCGAACAGGCACTTTGAAAAGTGATCTGTGCTGTTAAATGTCACATTACTGTTTACTGTGGTAGATAGTAACTGGGAGGTTTTTTGGGTTGAAAATCTTCTGGTTTTTTTTAACTACAAAATAGATACAGAGATGTGTTCACTTTGTGCTATTTTACTGTGCTTTGTACTTAAGACCTATATGTGTATCTTGAAAATTGTTTTTAAATACCTATCACCAATTTTTAAAAATTCAGGAGAAGGTAAGTAGATTAATGTTTTCATGTCCTTTTGTTATTGTAAAGACACTAAGTAGTACTGTAATTTGTTTTTAAAAGATGTGCTCTAATTCCTAGGTGAAATATGAAGATATTGAGTGTAAAACCTCCTAAATTAAGGTAAAGTAGAGAATTACTGAAAATTTACACAGAAGATAGAAAAATAAGAAAATAGACCATGGGTAATGAAGAACATGCTATTGCATATTGGTAAATCTAATCCCGACTTACCACTGTTGTATTGAACATAAATTGGTAATAGCTCTTGTTACAATCTAATATTGTTTGACCCTATTCAGTGATTTTTTTTTTCACAAGTTAAAACATTAGGATTAAAGTAAAATAATGAAATATAATCTCATGGCATTTCAACCTAGTAAACTGCCAACAGGACTGTATAATAAGATTAATGTAGGTTGTCATTATAATCATTGCAAGTGGTACTATTCTCATATTAATGTACAGTTTTCCAGTACTATTGATGAATAACAATCTAACAACGCACCGCACGTACACATTCAGACACAGAGACATGTACGTGTGTGTGTGTGTGTATTGCATCTTGATTTGTGGTCTAACATGATAAATATTTCTGAGTGGCTCTAATCTTAAAAATAGTATTTCTCTATTTTTGTGCCATAGGGTTCAATATAACAAGATTCATTATGTCCAACGAATTCTCTTCAAATTATTGAATCCTTAATATTTTACTGCAGCTTCATTAGGTAAATACAGTGCTAGCTATATTGTAATTTTTCCTGTACTTGAGTAACAACTGTTTTGTCCTTGTGGAAAGCCTCCTGCCACAGACTGCACATAAACAAACAGGATTCCTGACTTTCCTTCTGAATGACTGTCCTGAGCTGCTACAGGTTCAGTCAAAAACTCCACTTCCTTCCTCCTGACAGACATGAGTGCCCCCAGGTTTCTTTCTTTCCAACATGAGAATTGTCATCTTCACGTGATACAGAAAAGTCTGTCCTCTGCAGTTGCCAAAATCCATGCCACTTTACCCTCACGTTTTGCCTTTTTGTCTCTCACTCACCTGATGTCGTTTAAACAATTAGCCATACATCTTCGTGCTGTCATTTTTCCCGCTGCAGTTTAATCTACAGGAAAAAAATACTGTGCTTCTCTCCCTTCATATAATTATCTTTCCAACAACCACCATCTCTATAAGTTTGTAATGTACTAATTTCATACCTTGGCCCCAAATACACCTACTACCTGAACCTGATTTCCATTTTCACTTCACCCCATTCTGTTTCATTTTTCCCAGAGAACATTTTGTTTATTCAGTTTCTTGAATGGCCATCTCACATACTGTTCCTTTTCCATGGAACTTTACCAGACATTCCATGCTTAGTTAATTTCTGGATAAATACATTACGTCAAACTGGAAGTTCTATGCTCAGAGACATCCCCATAATATCCAGGTTGTGTGAGATCCACGTCTTTTTTATTTCATAGACTCGAACTGCTCCACTATAAACATGACTAACAATTATGTAAGGATTTAAATAATAATTACATAGTACTCCATTTACAGTTGTTGTATTTATGGTTTATTATTGGACACAACTTCAGTCCAAGAGCTTTTGTAAGGTGACTATCATCACTGTAGAACTCTGTGAAGAGGAGTGAATAAACAATGGATGCTGTGCATGAACATAACTGTGTTTCATTTCTTTTTTTTTTTTTATGTTAAACTCAAGCCCCAGTGTGGGGCTTGAACTTATGACCATGATGAAGAGTTGCATGCTCTACTGAATGAGCTGGCCAGGTGCCCACTTTACATTTCTGATGACATCAGGAGATTTAGTTCCTTGACCAGACAAAACAGAGCCTGGACACACTGGAGCCATGGCTCATGAGAACAAAGGGGCCTACAGTTGGGAAAAATCTGTTGTTCAAGGCAGAGATGTTCACCAGCAACCAACTGGGATTATTAATAAGAACAGTGCAGACTTGGAAGGTGGAAGACGGTATAAAATGATACAAGGGTGCTCCCAAGGACAAGGATTCTTTGGGTGACTGTGGACCCGGGAATGCATCTTGGGGAGAGACTGTTTGTATGAACGTGCCTGACCCACTGCTTGTGCTTATGCAAGATGGAAACCATGGAGCCACTGGCTCACAGCATGACCCCCAAGCAGCAGATATCAGAGAATGATAACAATGTTGCCTGTAGTGATAGTGTGGTTTTGTTATTTACCTACCCCAGAACAGTATCCCAAATCCTTTTGCATTGTGATGTTTGCATTGTTCCATTTGCCAGTCACACACACAGGAAAAGAGAGATTTACCAGTATTGGCAGGATCCAGCACAACGCAACAAAGGAGCCAATGCGCCTGGGAGGTTTTACTTTTAAGTTCTGCCCATGTGGAGTTTCTGGGGCTGATTGTGATGGCCTGGAAGATACTCAAGAGGCAGGTGCTGCTGATGGACACACCCATTCCCACCCTGTGAAGATAGAAAACAAGTTTGCATCTGACATCATCAAGGAAATCTTTCAAATCAAGAGCTGCCACTGTCTGGGGACTCCTTTAGAAAGCAGGGCTAGAGTTGGCTCTAATCAGGTGCTTGAGCATCAAATCTGTGGATCTCACCCTGCGCCCAGTAGAGTAAAGGAGGAGATAATGGTAGAGAAGAGAGAAATTTCCAGTGATTGTGAATCCTGTCTGTGATACGAAGATTGTTCCGACGGCCACATTCCTGAAGCCATTCTGCCAGCTTACAGTGACTGATAAAATTCTTTTGTCTTCAGAGTCAGAGGATCCTGCATGGGAATATGATGTATGGGCTGCATTTATCATGTCCACTGCAGTTCAATATTCTCCACTTACCATTGGTTCCCCATTAGAAATGATCATAGTTCTATAATTTTTAGCAGCATCTCTCCCCTTGGTGATGTGTTTGTACATAAGAGGAACAGACACAACAGCCATATCAAAGTGCAGGGTCCTTTAGTGTCATTCAAAGATATTATAAGTTCCTGGACATGTTTATTGTTAATGTTACTAGTCTAAGTTTTTATTTTTTTATTTTTTAAAGATTTTATTTATTTGAGAGAGAGAGAATAAGAGACAGAGAGCATGAGAGGGAGGAGGGTCAGAGGGAGAAGCAGACTCCCTGCCGAGCAGGGAGCCCGATGCGGGACTCGATCCTGGGACTCCAGGATCATGACCTGAGCCGAAGGCAGTCGCTTAACCAACTGAGCCACCCAGGCGCCCAGTAATTATTATTTTTATCACGAGGAAAACTCCCACAAGTAGCAGCACTTCTCACTTTCACTTCCCCTAGCTCCTGCTTTCCAGTACCTGCGATGGGTCCACATATTGGGACTCTCCCTTTCTCACAATGGACTCTTTGGGAGCCCATCCACAGTCCCCTTTTCATACTCCCTTGGAACCAGGTAGGCACACCACCCACCCCAGTGGTGGCTGCATGAACGCTTTCTAGATGTAGCCACTTGGATCCCGGAGAGCTTGCCAGTAGCCACCAAAGCCCCTGGGAATTGGGGACTTGAGTGATCATGATAGCCAGTGTTGGCTGGACCCCAGGGAGGACATGGGGATGCTATGCCTGCCCACACCCAACACCCTTGGGAGCCCTAAGGACTGAGGCTTGGCATTGAGAAAGCTGGCCTGTTTCCTGAGCAACTTAGCTGAAAGCTGAATGTTTTGGGGAAAGGGGGGGGGCGTCCTGAGGGGGAGTCAGGCTCCTGTGAGGGAGGAAGCATGCTGGGATGGAAAACTGCAGCTCACTGCCACCAGGGGCGGCCACAGGAGAGCCTTCCAGTCCCAGGCCTTAACTGGCACATGGTGGCCCCACCAGGGCCTCCTGGAGTCCGGGGTGCTTGGAGGCCTCACAGTCTGCACTTGGAACCTTCCATGTAGTTCCTTTCCCACTTTCACTGGGGGCACGGCAGGGTCCAGGTGCTGGGTGGTGGTGTCTGGGTCACACCAGCGGAGTGATGCTTCTTGAAAATCAAGTTGACATTTTTGTCTTCCTGTACTTTCTCGAGGGTGTATTCCTTTGGGGTCTTAGATGGAGCTCTTTTTAACACTTTCTCCCAGGTTAGTATGGATTGATCACTTTTAGGGCAGAGGCTACAGCTTTGGAAAAATCATCTCTTCTTTTTAATTACTCCACCATCCTTTTTAAGTCCTCTTCCCCCCTTTCACCTTCCTTTGAAATCTTAAGTCTGGAGGAAACAGGATAAACCCTCAAAGAAAAGTGGTTTCTTTTCAATGGGCACTCTTCTGCGAGTTTGGGGTGAGGCACTAAGGTCGTGTAGGTGTGCAATGATCGACTGTTGTGGGCCATCAGGTTTCAGGGGTTACCTGTCACCCTGAGGCCATCTGTCTCCAGTTTCCTCTCACCCTTGCACACTTCCACCGTTCTGCCCTTATTGAATTATAGTGCATAGAGTGGAGAGTGAGCAGGAGAACCAGGCTGATATTTTAAATATGTGGCAGTGTTCTTTGGTGGTCTTCAGGCAGATTTTTAAGAGCTGAAAGAAAAAAAAGTTATTTGCCTTATAAATTAGCATCAGTCTTGCTTTCTTTTTTCTCTCCTCTCCCTGTAAAGACAGAAACTTGAAATTGTTTGGTGCTAGGTGTTTTTTGTTTGTTTTGTTTTACTGTTCTATTAAGTTTTTAAAATTTAAATTCCAGTTAATATACAGTGTAATAAAATTTCAGGTTGTACAATATAGTGATTCAACACTTCCATGCCTCACCAAGTGCTCATCTGGAAGTGCATTCCTTAATCTCCCTCACCTATTTAGCCCACCTCCCCCCCACCTCTCCTCTGGTAACCATCAGTTTGGTCTCAATAGTTAAGAGTCTGTTTCCTAGTTTATCTTTTTTCCCTTTGCTTGTTTGTTTTGTTTCTTAAATTCTACATACGTGTGCAATCATATGCCATTTGTCTTTCTCTGACTGGCTTATTTCACTTAGCATTGTAGTCTCTTGCTCTAACCATGTCGTTACAAATGGCAAGATTTCATTCTTTTTTATGACTGAAAAATATTCCATTGTATACATTCACCACAACTCCTTTACCCATTCATCTGTTGATGGACATGGGCTGCTTCCATAATTTGGCCATTGTAAATGATGTTGCAGTAAACGTCAGGGTGCATGTATCCTTTTGAAAATTACTGTTTTTGTATTTTGGAGGTAAATACCCAGCAGTGCAATTAATGGATCATAGGGTTGTTCTATTTTTAACTTTTTGAGAAACCCCCATACTGTTTTTCACAGTGGCTGCACCAGTTTGCATTCCCATCAATGGTGCAAGAGGGTTTCTTTTCTCTCCACATCCTCACCAGCTCTTGTTTTTTTCCTGTTTTTGATTTTAGTCACTCTGACAGGTGTGAGGTGATAGCTCATTGTAATTTTGATTTGCATTTCCCTAATGATGAGTGATGTTGAGCATCTTGTCAAGTATCTGCTGGCCATCTGGATGTCGTCTTTGGAGAAATGTCTATTCATGCCTTCTGCCCATTTTTTAATTGGATTATTTGTTTTTTGGGTGTTGAGTTGTATCAGTTCTTTATATATTTTGGATACTAACCCTTTATCAGATAAGACATTTGCAGATATCTTCTCCCATTCCATAGGTTGCCTTTTAGTTTTGTTGATTGTTTCCTT